CTGTCTGAGGCCATGTTGCCGGGTCGATCCAGGTTCCCAGGGTCACCCACACACACGCACCTCTGAGTGGCCTGTGTCTTGGTCGGGGTCTACATTGCACTTCGTTCTTCAAGTCTTCTCTGTGCTGCTTGGGGGCTGTCCTGAGTGAGAAAGCTGGGGGCGTGAATTAACTCAAACAGTAAGGGGACCCTTCTCCAGTTCTCTTCTCTCTGGGCTCCCCTCTTGCTCTCCAAGGGTCTCCTTTCCCTGTCCTGGGCCGGAAGCAAGGGGCTTCTCTTGGAATTTCAGTTCCACCACAGGGTACCATGCAGTTCCCACAGCTCATGCCACCCTCAGGATAAACTCAGAAGAGAAAATAGAGAAAAATTTGCATTACCTGCACATACTTCAGACTTTGAGGGCTCTTCCCACATTTCCTGTCTGGAAAGGCAGGGCTCCTGTCAGTGTTAACTGGTGGCACCACTTGCTACCACCAAGGCTTACCTGGGGGCTTACCCACGACAAGCCTTGAGAGAAAAAATAAAAACCTGGGGATTTCCTCCCACCCCTCGGTTCCTAGGAGCTCCTTTTCCTGGTCTTTTGGGTTTTCTTTCGTGGGTTTTTCCTCACAGTTTAACCAGTCAGATGTGGCTCTGTGACAGCTCTTCTGGTGCCTACCCGGGCTCAGGGCCAAGACAGAGGAAAACTAGAGTCACTCTTGTGTGAGGTTTGTCTCCAGGCCTGACTCCCGCCCTCAATCCTGCTTTTATCCACCCCCCCAACCCCCCATTTTCCTCTTGCGTTCTGTCCAGAAGTTTCAGTCAGTGGGAGAGGCTTCCGTGGGCTCACTCCATCTCACGTATGCTGGAAACCCAGGACCGCACTTACGAGGCCCAAGCTGGAAACCCCACAACCGCCCTCCAACGTTGGAATGGACAGATGGTGACGTATTTACACGACGGCCCATGACACACCAATAGGAATGAACAATGACAGTGACTGCAGCAACATGGTGAATCTCACATTGTTGTTTAGTGACTAAATCTGAGAGAAAATAGTTTTCAGACTTCAAATAACAAAGGAGCCTTCAAAGAAGGAAAAATACAAATTGTATGGTTTCACTTATGTAATGTTATATAAAGTTCAAAGTAGGCAAACTAAATTACAGTTGTGTATCATTTCACAATGGGTTCTGAGAAATGTGTCTGTAGGTGATTTCACTGTTGTGCAAACATCACAGAGGTTCTTACACAAACCTAGATGCACACAGCCTACTCCACACCTGGCCGTGTGGTCGGTTCTATCGCTCCTAGGCCACACACCCGTCCAGCATGTTGTGGTATGGAATAGTGTGCAGCCAACTGCAACCCAACTGTGTTTTCCCACACAAAGCTAAACACAGAAAAGGTCAGTGAAAAGAACATGTAAAAGCTAAAGCACAGGGCACCTGTAGAGTGCGCTTAGCATGAACAGGGTCTGCAGGGCTGCAGCTGCTCTGGGTGAGTGGGGGTGGGGAGCGAAGGTGAAGGCCAAGGCCATCACTGTGCCCTGCAGACTTTATACACAGTCTAAGTCAACCCTTAGATGAACTGTCGATTAAAAATGTTTTTTCTTCAATAATGAATTAACCTTAGCTTGCTTACCTTAACGTTTTTTAAACTTTTTAATTTTTAAAAGCTTTTCGACTTTGTATAATAACACATAGATTAAGACACAAACATATTGTTCAGTGGTACAAAAATATTTTTTCTTTGTATTTTATCCTATAAGCTTCTTTGGTATTTTTAATTCTTTAGAAACTTTTAAAACCTCCTTCAACACCAAGATATGAACACACACATTGGCGCAGGCCTACACGGGCCAGGACCATTAGTATCACTGCCTCCCCCTCTGTATCTTGTCCCACGGGAAGGTTTTCAGGGGCAATTCTGTGTGTGGAACAGCATCCCCTGTGATTATAATGCCTTCTGGAATGCCTCTTGAAGGTGCTGAGGCTTTTTTACAGTTAATTTTTAAAAAAAAAATAAGCAGGTACACATTCTAAGGATAAAAAGTAAATTTATGGGATGGCGCCTGTGGCTCCAAAGGGTAGGGCACCAGCCCCATATGCTGGAGGTGGTGGGTTCAAACCCAGCCCTGGCCAAAAAAAAAAGTGAATATATGAGCCACTACATCATCGTTCATTATCAAGTATTATGTGCGTTATTTTATACGACTTATACCGGCATCACCACAAACACAAGTCATGTGTTGGTTATGATGTCACTAGGTGGTAGGAATTTTTCAGCTTCATTGTCTTTTTGTGGGACCACCACTGAATATGTGGACTGTTGATGAACAGAATGTTATGTGATGGACGACTGACTGTATAATGTTAGGAGCCAGGGTAGCTGCGACTTCTGAAGTGGAAGAAGCAATAATTGGCAAGTGGCATTAGCAGATTTGTGGGCACTGTGAAGATTCTATGTGGTGGTTTTTGTACACTTTTCCAGACAGAAGTATGAATTTTCTAAACATTTGAAAATTAACTCCTTCTGATCACAAGTGACAGAACCTTAGCTTAAACTGGCCTCTATACTAAGAAGAATTTCTAATAAGGATACCCAGATGCCTAGAGGAATCCAAGGACGGGAGTAACACGGGAACTTAGAACAGCTGAGCCAAGAGCTCAAATACTCAGAGATTTCTCTCTCACTACGGAAAATGTGATCACTGACATCAAACCATCATTTCATAAGACACGCACGGAAATATCTGTGATGTGCTTCTAATATTTTGTTTGCCCAGGACTTGGCCCACTTAGTGGGGACAACATCTCCCTTAGGAAAAAAAACTGTCTCCCCCCATTCCATCTGTCTGGTTTTCACGGGAGCTGGGTTGTTCTAACTTTACCCTGTTTCTCTGGCCACAGCCAGTTAAGCTGAGTAAAAGGCACCTGACCTACGCTGGAGAACATTTCCTTAGAATGTTTGGACTTGGGACAAGTGTTATTTTGGAATAGGCACACTTGTGGGTAGGAAGCAGCAAACTGTTTAACAGCCCTTCTGGTGATTCTGCACTTAAAGAACACTAGCGTAGACTACTGCAACTCTTCATTTGGCTGTGCCTGTTATTTCTTTTAAATGTATCTTGTTTAAAAACTGGCATTGTGTTCACTCAATACTACCAGTTTATGGCTTGGCAGACTGTGGGGCAGTTTGAACATCAATAAAAGATACCATATGAAGGATTATGATAATGTAGTTTTCTTGAAGTTTTGGAATTAATATTTGTATACTCTTTCTGGAACAAAATGTTTCTTTTGGCAACAGAATCCACCAAAATTATGGCAGCCATCAGGGACTTCTGACTTAAGAAAAAGTTACTGCGAAGCACAACTGTGATTCCCATTTCATAAGAGAGAAAGAAAACAAGGAGTAAGTGGTTGGTTACCTATGGAATTAAGTGCTTTTTCCTCTTTATAATTTTCTTTAACTTCTATAATAAACATGCATGACTTTTTAGAAGAAAAGCCAATTCATGTTATAACCATTCGAATAATAAATATGACGATTTGTCCAAGAAACATCTGCCATCAGGAATTAAGACAGGTGCCAAGCTTTTGATGACACTTAAGGTACAGCTCTGTGCAAAGCAAACCCATTGCTAGCATTTTAAGTGAAAAATGTTTTCTCATTTTAAAAACATGACTCACTACCATTCCACTTAATATGTTAAAACTGTGTTAGGTCAGTACTTCAATATTTATTTCTGGATGGTGAGATTGGCAGCCATCATTTTTCATCTTTATACTCCTAAATATGTTTAGTTTGTTTTTTACAGATATGTCTCCATTACTTTCAACACTGTATTTTCTTTCTTATTTTAAAAATGAAAACATTGGCTCGGCGCCTATAGCTTAACCAGCTAAGGCGCCAGCCACATACACCTAAGGTGGCGGGGTCGGATCCAGCCTGGACCCGCCAAACAATGACGGCTGCAACCAAAAAATAGCCGGGCGTTGTGGCGGGCACCTGTGGTCCCAGCTACTTGGGAGGCTGAGGCAGGAGACT